CTTAAAAGTACTGAAGATGTTGATTTAAATAACACTTCTTACATTTTAGTTTCAAAAAATTTCAATAGTGTGCAGAAATTCAAAAGGGAAACCAGTGACAAAGAAGTGAAGTAACAATACGGAGAAAAATGTTAAATAAACACAAAAGAATGAGCCTGTTTGAATTAATTAAAATTACTTACACATATACATATAGCCTACATACACATTGCTTAGTGCAATACAAAACTGCTTCAGTGGCCAGGCCTTTAGCTGCCCATACAGCATTAAGAGGTTAAAGGTCATGATCTGTAACAGTCGGGGCAAGAAAGAAACTAAACACTGTTTGCACTGTAAATCATTCTCTCTCTCTCTCTTTCTCTCTCTCTCTGCCCCTCTCTCTGTCTCAAAGCAAACTTGTTTGTTTATGGGCACAGTTAATGGTCGGGTTGAGCTTTGGCAACATGATAAGTGCAGCCCATGCCATGTGTACAGCTTGTGTCTCCAGCACCACTCTTATCTATAATGCATCTCCCTTTCTCTTGCTCTCTCTGAGCAGCAGCAATGTTTCCAACAGCTCATAGAAAACTACAACATTTGTATTCATACTGATACTACATTAAATAGCGGCGAGATTTTTCTCTTTTAGTTTAAATGCGTAGGAATACTGGATTTTAACATATAGAAAGAAAAATGAATGGGACCCAAAAGTGAACCCTGAGGAACACCAGATCATTACTGCTTCTTCATTGTTTGGTCCGTTGTCATATGTTTCAATGTTAAAGGACCAGTAAAAGACCAATCAGATATCGGTGGTTGTAGGTTGCTGGGGTCATCATCAAAGCTGTAGGAGAGTGGTCAGTGCATTTGAAAGGAATGCTTTTAAAAGGGCCGCAGAGCAAATCAGCATGACCCCATTTGATGACTACTTCTTTCTCATCTGAACCGGGTCAATAATATATTAGCCTTAAACCCCCCCTGTTTAATTAGCCATCCTTGCAACGTGACCCCCAAGGATTTGAAGCACAGGGATAAAGGCTCAGGGGGCGGCGGCCTCAGAGCCCCTGTGTCAGGTGACAGATAAAGATTCTCTATCAAACATGTTGAGTGACACTTTCAACGTGAATGTCAAAAAAAACAAAGCGAAACAAACAAACAAACAAACTCTGTGCAATTAAATTCATTAGCGCACAACACTAGGATCTGTTAACTGACACTGGCTTTTTTTTTCAGTTGGATCTTTAAAATAGCTCAATTTGAAGCCACAGCCACACTGCGTTTGTGTTATAGATCATCTTCGGGGAAGGTGAAAGTAAAAGGGCATTAATTTCCCTGTAAATTGCATGGGGAATTGAGGTCTGCCGGATCAATACCAACCAAACCCGTGTTGGTCAATAAAAATCAAAAGAACATGCTGCGTTAAGCCGTTTGTGCCTGTGTGAGGCGTGAAATCAGTTCTCACTTAAAAGGTAGCAACATGTGATGAATAAACGATGGGCGGTGACCGAACAACGGAACGACAAAAGCCTGTCCTGCAGCAGTTTGGTAGCTCTCGTCCGACCGGGGCGTCTGTTTCGAGCCCCTCTTTCCCCAGAAAGCCACATTAACACTGTCTGTTATTGTGACATTTCTGCTTTATGAGCACAGAAGAAGAATCTACGCCTCTCCACGGGGCCAAAGAGAAGTGAAATTTGGTGATTTACGGTTATGAGGACAAGGAAAATTTTTGCAGATGCTTATGATATTAGGCTACTTGAGGGAGTTTAACGCTCCAGCAATGATAAGAGTATATTTGGGTTTCTGTCGAACCTCAACCAAAACACACAGGTCATAAATGTGGGGACGTGGTGCAGTGGGGAACTAATAGCCTTCCTGCATCTGGTTTTCATTGTAAAGAGGATGTGTGTTTTGGATTAAATTGACATTGATTCCTCTGTTTTTCCAGAGACTTGAAAAATCCTTTACAGCCTCGACCACAAAAGAAAGGAGTGCGGTGATTAAATACCATCTAACCCTCAGCCTCGTGGTAATAATAGTGACAGTTAGAAAATATATAATCAAGTTCTTATATGCTCCACTTGCTCGCACGAGTGTGAGTTTTGAGAAGGTACAAAGCCCCCCGCCAGGTAAATTATACAGCGAACCACTTCGCACTCCACGCAGATTGCATTGCTTCCACCTGGCTGACTCCCGGACATTGCTGTTGTGGGGGGTTAGGTCAGACAGGAGAGCCCTCAGATACCAGAGCATCCCCAGTGGAGGGCACGAGGCAGTGTTCTGCTTCATGCTCCGCTGCCTTCTGCCACTGCCCTTTATCATTACGTTGCCAAAACGTCCAATTACGGGGAGTTGTGCGGCACACGCGACGGCACGCAAACATAGACGACAGTGACAGGACTGCATGTGCGCTGACCTAATGTGTGTCCCTGAGCTGACGTCCATACCTAACAGTGGTAGCATATTGCATAACTGCATAGAAGAGGCTTGAAGGGCAGGAGGTAATGACATGCTGAGAGAACTTCAAAACAAGAAAATAAAATAAAAAGACTCGAGCTTGGAGGGTAAACAACAGGGGATAACGCCTCAAAGATCTCCAACTCTAAACTCAAAGTGAACCTTTTAAAAAAATCAGGTGAAAGTCTCATTCTCCTCCTCCTCCTCCTGCAGCTGCGGGCACATATGGTCTTTAAGGGCTCCAAGGGTTCGACCTTGTCGAGGAACCAGCAGCGAAGTCTCTCCACTCGAGGTCCAAAGGGAATAATCTTTTCTCAGGGGCCAAAAACAGAAGAAGAGAGGAAGCTGGGGCCTTTAAATTAAAGCCTGACTCGACCTCTTCCTCTTCTCTGTTGTTTGTGCTGCGGATTATTTCCTTAAATGAGAAAAGATGGGGCCGTAGAAAGAGTCGGGGCTCTGTAGGATTTAGTCATTTAGGTTTTTTTGGGGAGCTCTGTTCCTCTTTGTGCTGCGGATTATTTCCTTAAATGAGAAAAGATGGGGCCGTAGAAAGAGTCGGGGCTCTGTAGGATTTAGTCATTTAGGTTTTTTTGGGGAGGGAGGCGGGGGGGTTAGGTCAAAGGTCAAAAACCTGACAGATGCAGAGTGTGGATTACATTTTACTGACAGGCGACACGCCCAATAATGAGTTACTTGTTTAATAAATCAGGAGATAAATAACTTTGAAACTTGTGGCATGCAAGTCATTCTTGTAGATTAAGAACACAGGCAAAAAAAAAAGAGTTTAAGGCAGCGTTTCACGGTGACAAATATCTAAAGGATCAATGATGCAATTTTTGATGGAACACCAGCAGCTACACCAACCATACATTGCGATTACACACCTGCACGCAAGCAGGAGGAGCTGATCCAGGGAAAAGCAAATGATGCACGCACAAGTGAACGCCACTGCTAAATGACTTGGAAAATAGCACCGCTTCAAAACAACGCAAGAGTGGAAGAAAGAGAGAGAGGGAGAGAAGGGGAGAGAGAGAGAGAGAAAGAGGGTAAAATATTGCAAGAGAACAAAAGGCCTCGACAAGTCAGAACAGGTTTATTATTGATCTTGAAATGTGAGCTTTCCACCACAGAGTACATCTGTCCCAGCAACGCAGCCTGTCCATCAGGCAAGTGAACAAATGATGCAAGTCTCCGCGCCTCATGTGTCTGGCCTGCGTGTAAAAGGCCTTTCACAGTGAATCAAGTGCTCATATGTTTTTCTGTCATCACTTTAACGGCTGCAGCAAGCTGCCTGTTACTCCACGGCAGACTCCCAGCAGCCTCGGCAGAGTTAGTGGTGATTCCAGTATCAGCTGAAGCACATGATGCAGGGACTGGGACCGATATAGATTTCTGAGGAAGGGCGGAATCTGGCCCAGGAGTTTCATAATAAAATAACAAGTTAAAGCCGGCTGAATGGAAGACACTTAACAAGAGTGACAGAATGGGCCGGTGAGGGGCTGACGCTGTGTATGTTCAACAGCTTC